CTCTGCTGCTGCTGCATCGTTGTGGCTTATATGTGTATGTTTACTGGTTAAAAAAATAAATAAATAAACTTTGGGGTTGTGGCTTAGAGTTCAGTGCGGCTGATAGTTAGGAAAATACGGATTATAATCCTTCCTGGATTTTTTCTATGAAGAACCCAGAAAGGGTTATTTGATTGTGCTTTCTGGAAAACAATATATTTTTACATTTAGGCACTCCTGCAATCATCACACCTTTTCTGTTACAAACTGACTCCGGCCCCCCACCAGAGAAGGGGAAAGTTATGTGGCCCTTGGAGGAAAATGTTTGGGGACCACTACATTAAACTTTTCTTTTTTTTACCCTGTGCGTACGAGGATTTTTTACATTTTATTTTTTATTTTTTCCGTGATTTCACTTCCCCGAAACAGATGTTATGTCTGCCGCGCTTCTGAGCACCGCTCTCCTTCTGGGTGCGGGAGGGTCACGTCTTCACCTTCATTAGTTAAAGCCACAGGGTGAGTTAAGTTTAATTCTTTGCAGCGGCAGAGCCGCGTCCACCTTGGTTGTGCTGCCGCAGCGAACTGCGCATGTTATGATCTAATTAACTTGTTCACCTTTATTTATTTCCTCAAGATAAACTGCCAGCTCCTCTGTTTAGACTATAAATGGGTTCAACATTGCATTCTCTTTAGTTTTCTCTGTTCTGTATGTAATGGAGACTGAAATTAAACGCGCCATTTCTACCAAGGTTTTTGAATGGGCTTCCTAACCAGACGCTCCAAAGCGTCCGGTGTTATGCCCAGGTGTTATTCTTTAAATGTATTTAAAGAATAACTTCAGCAAATAATTGTGTGAGATCCCAGCGTGGAGCAAGTAACTCCAATCACACCAATCAGATTGCTGCGGCACATCAATATAAAATAAATACAGAGTTGAATGGCTTCAATAATTACTCATTTAATATATCCAATTCATATGATGTTCTGATTTGCTTGATGACTTTCAATTGCCCCTTTTCCACGAGACAATTGAAAGTCATCAAGCAAATCAGAACAGCGGAGAGGACTTAGACACTCATCCGGGATGCTTCGACTAGGGTTACCAAGGGACCAGCCCCTATACATTTAAAGCCGGGAGGAAGCGGGGAAAGAGAGACAGAGACTGCGGCAACGTGTTGGTTGGTCTGTGTTATCCAGAAAGCAGTTGGGCACAATATCGTAACACCAACACCGTGTGTGAAACAATGACTGGGGCAGCCTACTATATGATATACTCGGGGACCATTTCCTTATTATACGTCCACATTTGTAGAGTACGGAACTAATCGCGTCCCGTTTAGGTTCAATACGTGACGTGTGGCAACCTTAACTATAGAGTCTATCCTATCCTTATAATGCTAACTAATACGTTAGTTCAAAAGGAATAAGAGAAAATAGCTGATTTAGAAAAAATGAAATAATCATTTGAGTAATGGGCAAATCTATGAAATAACACTTTACCTGTTGACTGTGAACAGCAAAACAGTGATGACAAGAGCAAACAGAGAGATACCACAACCGATGTAAGTGATGTAGGACAGGATCTCAGCATCTTTGGCTGAGAGGTCTGCAGACACCTGAGGAGAAAAAAATACTCACATTCTATTGCTCATCTACACCTATCAATTTTCTAGCAAGATAAAATTTAGAAAAAGCTTAACATTTTAAAGCTACAATTATCTTTATAATGTGGATACTCAATTCAGTGAACTGCCATCACTTATAAAAATGAAGCTATGCCAAAATGGAAGTCCAACCCCTTTGCTTCCACAATGAAAGAGTCAGGTGCTGACTGTCTGCATTCCCAGGAGCAAAGATAAGTATGACTGTGGATATAAGATTTGATGGTAGAGCTAAGATGGTCTCCACTGTGCGTGTTGATCCAAATTA